AGCGCCCCTATGGGCTTCATAGGCGCCCCTTTATTGAACGTAGGCGCCCTACTGTCTCAGAACCGCTCCCATTTGGCATGCAGACGCCCATCTTTCGTACGGAAGGGCCGCTGTGGTTCTTAGAGACGGCATGTTGCTCCCAGACGCAGATGGGGCTCTCGGAGTCGACAGTGTGGGACCTTCAGTCGCTGATGGGTGCCCGCCAGATGTGGACCCTCGGAGACGCCGGTATGGGGCCCTCGGAGATGCCGGTATGTGGCCCTTAGAGACACCGGTGTGGAACCCTCAGATACTTCAGTGTGAAGCCCTTACAATTGCTGGTGTGGAGCTATGAATGCGCTGGCTTAAATCCCTCAGAGGCCGGTACATGGACATTAGAGCTCAGTGAGAGCTTGTGTGGTGCCTTCAGTGGCCTTGTGGAGCCGTTAGACATCAACATGGTGCTCTCAGGAGCCGGTGAGTCCTCTGAGTCACCGGTGTGGGGCCTTCAGAGCTCCGAGATACTGGTGTGGGACCCTCAGAGGTGTCGGTGTGGGTCCTTCAGATATACCTATAGAGCCTTGAGATACACAGGTGTGGTGGCCCACAGAGGCGCCGGTGTGGGGCCCCCAGAGCCACCGATATAGGGCCCTAAGAGACACTAGTATGACCCTCAAAGGCGCCGCTGTGTGGCGCTCATTAACACTGGTGTGGAGCCATCACAGGCGGGTGGAGCCGTTAGAGGCCGGAAAGGGCCCTTTAGATGCCTACAAGGAGCCTTCAGAAGCCGGCGTGGCACCCTTATGGGGATAAGCGTGTCTACTTAGGAGCCCTTGAGGTGCTCTCATGAGCTCTGTGGGGCCCTACCGAGCCGAAATATGGCCACGGCCAGTTGCCGCCGCATGGCTCTTTGGACTATCATTCTCAGGGGCCTCATCTGCCTAGTTTGAATAGAAGGGCCTCTCAGACAATCAGTATCATGGGCCTCCTCTGGCTAGTATAAATAGAAGGGCCTGTTAGACCATCAGTCCTAGGGGCCTCTTCTGGTTAGTATAAATAGAAGAGCCTCTTAGACTATAAAACAACGGAAGAAGAGCCAGCGGCAATACCTATCATGCCATCGTATGCAATCCTAAGCAATAATCATGCAGTCGTATATCACACCAATGACTTACTCTTTTGGTAAAAATTAAAAAACCTTCTGATGTCCATGCTTCTTAAGTTCTTTCTCACCAGAGGCAGAATCCCAGATTAAACCATGATCTGTCGCCTTTCGGACCAAAAGACTGCCCCGCCCAAGCCCCGCCACTCAAAACAAAACTCAAGGACGTCCGGAACCGAAAACTCTCCCCGCGTTCGATGTCTCTCTGACGACGAAGATTCTACGCCGTCCGGCCAATCACGTTCCACAACCGCAGCCGAGCCCCCGCTGACCTTGAACGGGATTGGCCGGACGACATAGAATCTTCGTCGTCCGAGAGACATCGAACGCGGGGTCTATTATGTTGGAGGGCCCGAGTTTGTCAACGTCTCCATGGAAACCCAATTTGACACGTGTGCTTTCAGCACGCTACTACCGGCCGTGAAACACCGCCCCATTGACGCGGTACGAGTGCAACGATGGATACCAAATGCTGCTGTCTTTGACTCTGGTATAAACAAAGCAAAAAAAAAATCGCGTCATTTTTTTACAACGCATTCTTATGTACGGTAGGTAATTAAAAAATAATAATAATGCGCTCAAAGAACCGTGATAGTGATGCCAGTACCAACTTTGGTTGGGGGTGCCCAGAGCACCTTGGGGGGTGCCCAACTCAGCATTGGGGGTGCCCGGGCACCCCCAAAAGTATACAAATCGACACCTATGAATTGTGCTAAGCTTCAGTCAACTGAAGGAAAAAATGCCACAATTAAGAGTTGACTTCCTCACACTGCAGAGCATAAAAAATGCAGTACCGTCAAAATGGAAACAAAAGATTAGGCTAAACACCAGGGCTATGCTGGACCCAGATGATAGAAAATGTTGCCTTATTAATGTGAGTGCCACTTTGAAAGTTTGTTTGAGGGCACTCATGTGTAATCACATATACAAAAAGCTGTTAACGATTAAAACACCTACCGCTCAATGTAAATGGGAACAAGAGGGCATTTCTTTTGATTGTTGGGGAGATATGTACGAGATACCGTACAAAGTAACAACGTCTACTAAATTACAATCATTGCATTTTCGCATTATACACAGATATATTCCAACACGTAAATTCCTATGTTCACGAAACATTATTGGTAGCAGATTATGCCTGAAATGTTTTGAGGTAGATACGCTCGAACATTTCTTCTATCACTGCACTGATGTTCGCGAAATCTGGGATAAGGTGCTATGTAAGATAACGGCGGCCTTTCGACTTCCAAACAGTTTCGTAAACGCCAGAACGGTGCTTCTCGGTAGTGCGTCCAGTCCAAATATAATTAACTTAGTAATTTTATTGTGCAAGCAGTATATCGTGGCATGTAAATTACGAAACAATTCTACTCAACAACCGAGTGTAGAAGGTGCGATAAAAATGATCATGAACCAGCACGAAATTGAAAAAGCGATTGCCAAAAAAAATGATAAGCTCGACCAATTTTGGGAAAAATGGGAAAAAGTCGTCAACAGGAACCACGGAGGCTTGTTTCAGTGAACATCGCCCGCAAATAAATTCACATGGTCGTTGTGCCGGCACTTGGACGCCACGTAGGTACATACTTTATGGCATGTGTGCGCAGTGCAGCGCTACACTGTGCGCAGAGAAATCAGCCTCGACGCACGAAGCGTCGACGCGAGACGCGCGCGTCCGTTATCCGCCGGCCATCGGTCGTGACCTGCCGCCCAAGGCCTGTTTGGTTGGTGTCGTGAAGGTGGGCCAATGTCATGTTTGTTTATGTCCTTCTTTGATTGTGGTTCGTGTAGCTTGTGTGTGTTGCGTAAGTGATTTGTACGTCCTTGTGTTTCGTTAAATAATTTAATAATTTTTTTAAAAAAAGCACAGAGTACTACTGCGGTAGTATTCTAGCTTTACAAAAACTGGATGCCGTGAACCGAATGGCCATGAACGGGTTTGTTTTGCAAACCAAATCTGTTGGAAGCCAAAGCTCGCGCCATGTTCAGGCTTGGAGCTTCTCCACTTCAGATGTAAAAAACGCGGCAAAAGTGGTGTAGGCAGAAATTTTTGTTTTGGGGGATAATGCCTTATGGCCTGGAAAGGCTTCGATGTTATGTTTAACCCTAGAACGCCTAGGGGGGGGGGTTGTATCAACCCCCCCCCCCCCCTGAGGTTTTTTCGAAGTGCACGCTAAACGGCTTGTCGTAGCGGGCTGAAATTTTCAATACCCTCTGGGGCAACCTTTGCGCATCTTTTGCCGAAAAAAATTGATCGGGTCATGTCAGGTCACGGAGTTATGACGTCATAAGAGGTACAGCCTCCGGCCGACAGTTACCAAACGTGTGTGCCGAATCCCTAGGTTTTCTGCCGGTGATACCCACATTGTTTGATGGATCATGATGAAACTTCCCATGCATGTTGGGGCAAGCATTGGCTATCGTGTGGTGCAAGAAAATTGACCGGGTCAGGTCAGGTCACGGAGTTATGACGTCACAAGAGGAACAGCGTCCGGTACTATTTTTGAAAAGCGCCCGAACCACTATTTTGCTAATTCTTGTCACCTCAATGGGAATATGCAGCAATATTAGCTTCTATAGGGAGCAAATGGACCTCCCAAATCCAAAAATACAATCAGATTTCAAAAATTTAAATTTTGATTTTTCGAATTTTTGCCGCCGACTGTGACCTTGCCGACTTCCGGCGCTCCCAACGCGCCATTTTTAGAGCTAGGGAAACGAAATACATACCAAACGATAGAGAATTGATCAAGGAACACGATAGTGAAGGTTTCAAGTCGATATCTCCCACCGTTTTGCCGCAATCGCCGCCGAAAGTTGAAAAAAGTCTATTTTTCCGAAAATTTGACCTTTGACCGGTCAAAAGTAGGTCAAATGTTGACCTAGGACCAAAAAATATACCACCAATCGCGAGATCTCGTTGAGAGCAATCCGTTGGTTTTTTCCGCTAAGCTCTACGACCTTCCGTTTCGAAACGCCAGGGGGGGGGTCGTAACAACCCCCCCCCCCTGGTCGTTCGTGTTATGAGAAATGGCCTGGTCGTGCGAGGGTTAACTTGTATGATCGTATTATCCTCCGGCAAGAGGTCAAAGAAAACAGGCCTACAACCAGTTTCGGGAGACCCGTAAAACAACTGAGACCAGCAGTAGCTGACATTTTCCATCATTGTTGGGCTAATCTTGTAACTAGCGTATCTATTGTATGTGCTATTTCATAGCCACCCTGGCTGACTATATAGGACGATAAAAAGAAAAAAGCGCAATCATGTTTTCCTTATTTTATACGCTAATTAACAATGTTCAGGTAATTCTGGGACACCCTGTAAATGTTCAAATGGTTGCTAAATTAGAATTCAGCTAAAAAGAAAAAGTAGCCTAGAAATATGTAAAGCTTGAAAAAGTGAACAGAGGTCATCAAAGGTCAATGACCTGACCTGACCTTCAGGTGACCCTGACGGCTGACACCCACCCTAATGCATAGAACCAACATCAAATCACATGTTTGAACGTTTGAAACCACGAGGAGACTGCAAACGCGCGGATAATACGAGCCGACATACGCCGAATCGCGATTCCGGCCAAATTTGGTCTGGTCATGGTCTGGTCATGGTCAAACATGGTCTGGAAAAGCTGATCGGAGGTCAAAGGTCGTTTGGGTCAGGGTCATGAAATTTTAGGGTAGGTGTAAAATTGATAAACGCGAGGGTATTGCATGCTTCGTCGTGATCGGTCGCTTTTTACGCGACTTATTCGCGAAAAACCGAGGGTGGTCCGTTCGACCCCCTCCCCCTCCCCCTTATACGGGCGATTGTTAGATAGTGCTGGCCGCCGCCGTGCTGATAGGCCGCCGCTGCCGACAGGACCGGCGGCGCCGCTGGCTCAGTCTGCCGCTGGGCTTCTCAGCTGGCTCGGTCCGGCGCTGCACGATGCCGGTCTCAGCTCTGCGGCCGCTGGCGGTCTGCCTGTGGCTGAGCGTGTCGGCCGGCCAGCCGGACCTCTCCGGCAGCTGCACGCGGGCCGGCCACTGCCAGCCGCACTCCAACCCACTGCTGGACATTCCCGGAGGCACGTTCACGATGGGCACGGACCGGCCGCACTTTGCGCAGGACGGTGAGGGCCCGGCGCGCCGCGTCACCGTCAGTCCCTTCCGGCTGCAGCAGCGCGAGGTCAGCAACGCCGAGTTCGCCCGCTTCGTGGCCGCCACTGGATACGTCACCGAGGTGAGCGGATGGATAGCGGATACGTCACCGAGGTGAGCGGATGGATAGCGGATACGTCACCCAGGTGAGCGGATGGATAGCGGATACGTCACCGAGGTGAGCGGATGGATAGCGGATGCGTCACCCAGGTGGCGGCTGTGGGCCGCGCCCGGCAGAGCGTTAGGTAGGGCCTCGTGACCGAATATCTAGCGACAAAACATCTAGTGTCATTTAAGCTAGTACGTTTGAGCTAGTGCTACAAAAAAGCTAGTGATGTAGAAGCTAATATTAAAATAGCTGGTAACTTATAAGAGCTAGTCCCTCTAACTTTAAGACTAACTCCCAAGGAAAGGTAGTGGTGCAAAGAGCTAAAGCGCATTTTAGCGTTCCCTAAAAACACGGTGCGCAGAAATCATCAGAGCATGCTCGCAGTCATAAAAATAAAACTTAACCCTCGCCCCGTTGGGGGGGGGGGCAATTTGGCCCGCCCCTGTGGTTTTTTCCTGAATAGCAAGAACACGGTAACCATTAGGTAGTGAGGGAAGCGGTGTTTGGTATGAGGGGGAGCGGTGTTTGGTGGTGCGGGGAGCGGTGTTTGGTATGAGGGGGAGCGGTGTTTGGTATGAGGGGGAGCGGTGTTTGGTAGTGCAAGTCGGTGCGTGGTTGAGCTTGTGTTTGAGGTTTGTGATGAATGTAGGGTGTCCAAAGGTCTGGCTTTGATTTAACTTTAAAATATCTGGAAAATTAAAAATCCGACTGCATTTCAAGTTTGACACATGTAAAGTAAGCTCAATGCTCATAAACAATTTGCTGTTAACTATACTGAAATCAATTTTCGGTGATGGCTAGACTGAGTAGAAAGCAAAAATAAAAGTAAAAAGTAAAAATAAAACGTTTGTCAGTGCTTGTGCAAGGATCATATTAACCCTCGCCGGCCGAGGGGGGGGGGGCGGGTGCCGCCCCCCCCCCCCATAGGTTTTTTTTCGCGATAGCTCCGAACACGCTGGCGATAGAGAGCTGAAACTTGGCATACCTGACCTTTGATCCAAGCCGGATCTTTTGACACCAACCAAATTGTTGGGTCAGGTCAGGTCACTGGCCTATGACGTCATAAGTGAACCTCTGCACGGTCTTCAGATGTCGCAACTTCGCAACGCCCTCACTGCCAGAGGAGATGTCACAGGGAAATGAAACTTGCAGGATCTAGGATCCATTATGAGTCCCACAACTTTTATATCTCGGATTTTTCCTAAAGGTCATATGAGGTCAGGTCATTTTCGTGACCTCCCCATTATAAGTCAATGGGGAAAAATGAAAACTGCTATTCTGGCGCCGGGAACGATCTCCAACAATCTCAAGCACACAGAATCGTGATTTGATGCACTCCTTGCAAGGTTAGATGCGTCACTTTTGCAATGTTGACCTTGCGTGACGTCATTTATGACGTCATCAAGGTCATGTTAGTTTTTCGTCAATAACTCTTGATCAAATTGAGCTAGCGAGTCGGGAAAGCCACCAATGGACTCAAGAAGGCCTGCCGAATCGAATGATATGCGACATGAGCTCTTTCGACCAACTTCGTGACCTGGGGGTGCTGACCTGACCTTGACCTGAGGTCAACACCCCAAGTTGACCTGACCCGGACAAAAAGTATATCATTCGACGCGCCTGAGCAAGGCGAACACGATGCTGCCAAAATCGGCGCTCTGCGGCCGTTTTTTGCGAAGTTATTCACCAAAAACTGAACCGTACCTTGGGGCACTTGACCTGACCTCAGAGGTCACCGGTTGACCTAGGACCTTAAAATCGGGTACCAATCTCTGCGTCTCGTAACGGCGCACACGCCCGTTTTTTCCGCGACGCGCTAGCTCCACCAGGGGCGAAACGGCGAGGGGGGTCGTACCCGCCCCCCCCCCCCCCTCGGCCAGCGCGTATGTAGAAAACCAATAGGTCCGGCGAGGGTTAAAGGATCACAAACTTCAAACTTCCGTCCCATATCCATCGTCCCAGTCATCGCCAAAATAGTGGAGAGGGCGGTCCAGCGCCAACTCTACTATTACCTATCATCCAACCATCTCCTTTCCCCCACCCAGCACGGCTTCCGCCCGCGGCACTCTACGGAGACGGCGCTCACCTACATCAGTGATCACTTACTTTCGGCGATCGATTCCGGCAAAATCTCTCCTCTGTTTGATCGACCTCAGTAAATGCTTCGATGTCATTAACCACGGGAGACCTTTGGAAAAACTTCGGATTCTAAATATCGACATCTCATGGTTTCAAAATTGCTTGCACGGTTACACACAGAGTGTCAGCTTCACTGGCCCTGATGGCAAGGTTAACCCTATTACTGGTGGGGGTGGGGGTTGGGGTGGGGTGGGGATCGGCCCCCACCTGTAGTTTTTTTTGCTCTCGACGGAAAACCGCTTAAGCTAAGGGCTCGGAATTTGGGGACTTTTCCTGACTATTCATTGGGCACATTGTGTCAAATTTTTGAGTTTTTAGCTTGCGCAGAGGCGTCTCCAGGGGGAGTTTCTCGGGGGTAGTTTTGGCCCAGCTTTGACTGTTTCCACGTTTGCCGCTAAGCAGCGACTTACTTACGTTTGTGTTGGTGATCAATGGCACCAACCGTCATATGTATGCACCTAAAGACTATGTGACGTCATTTTACAATGACAATAAGCATGACAGCTGGTCAACTTAAGCCGCAATAGGCCGATATCCTTACCCTCGCCGGCACAGGCCATTTTGAGTCCTTCGACGGCACAAGGGGGGGGGGGGTACGACCCCCCTCGCGTTTGGCCCCTGATGGAGCTAGAGCTTCGCGGAAAAAACGAGCGTGTTGCCCGTCACGAGAGGAAGCCAATGATACCCAATTTTAAGGTCCTAGGTCATCGGTTGACCTTCCAGGTCAGGTCAATGACCCAAAAATCGGGAATATCGGAACCTGTTAGAAAGTCGTAAAGTGTGGCTGCTAAGGGGTTTTCCGGGGTGCCGATCACGAATATCGTGTTAGTTTTGATCACAGATGATGTCGTTAAGCGTTTAGACCAGGTCGGATCAGGTCAGGTCAGGTCGACCGGTAGGGGTCGCGACGGGTATTCGTAGTACCTGTCATCCGCCTCTGACAGCTTCGTAACATGTTACGAAGGCACCAAAACTACTTCGTAAATGTTCAAATGGTTGCTAAATTCGAATCCAGCTAAAAAAACTAGCCTAGAAACATGTAAAACTCGAAAAAGTGAACCGAGGTCACCAAAGGTCAATGGCCTGACCTGACCTTCCGGTGACCTTGACACCCACCCTAATCAGCATGGGAGCAACACATGTTCAGTTGGGCAAACTAGGCGGCGGGAATCAAAATATGGAGGCATCAAAATATTGATTCTAGTGGGCGGAGCTTTGACCATATATGGGCATAGAATCAATATTTTGATTCTATTTGGGACGTTCTCACCTTCAGGCGACCCGTTACGGTGGAAATAACCCCCATGACGGCGAGATTTTTTGACAAGTCAATACAAAAATCTCCCCCGCTTCAATTTTTCGCTGCATGGCTATCAGCCGTTTGTCGCGCGTACCTTTACGAATGGCGTAAAGATTTCGCCGCCAAAATTCAACAAAAACGTGCTCTAAAAACTTGCTCTGTTTATCACTAACGACGAGCCTTTGTAATTTTTTCATAATTTTGTTGAAAAGAAAATAAAAAATGCGTTATTTATTTGTATAATCATTTATTAGAAATATTCTATTTTCTTTGTACCTAGCCACGATTTCCGGTTCCCGCCATTTCGCGCCGGCGTCGTGGGTGTTTGGAGGCTACGTAATGCTCCCGGTTTTATTTTATTTAAGCGACCTTTTCTGAAGTGTAAGTAACAATGAATCACATTTTAAGATACTTTGAAGTGTATTTTTCAATTTCAGGCATGTGATAATAACGTTTCTTACCGAAAACCCGTTTTAATAGATGGTTTTAGGATTATGGCGCGGTAGCGACGTCAGCGGCGCGGGACGCCTTCTCACTTTTCTTTTTTCTTTTTAAGCTATATTTTTTTGAAAATGATGTCTTAGGGGTGGTATTTCAGTGAAATATGATGTTCTTTAAAAGTTACGGTATAAATTAGTTACAAGAAGCATCATGTTTTGTCTCACATGATAGAATTGTTGGGTGGACTCATGAAATGGGGGCTGTGCTTGCCCAGTATTTTACATAATTTTGATGTTTGTAGCCTCTGCTTGTGAATCATTCACCCAATTGTTGCTATAACTTTGATTTGTAGCATTTTAATTTGTTGTAGAGGGCAACTAGGTTTTTTACTTGTTCGGGGTTTACATTGAAAGGCTGTAGTGCATGTTCGTGTTTGTCGTATCTAAATAGTAGGTATGTGAGCTTGGCTTGTAATTGATTCGCCCATTATTGCTACATATTTAATGATGCATGTTTTAAGCGTAACAAAAATAAGTTGCTGAATGGGGTCAAGCCTTATTTACGTTATGCGTGATCTTCCAGAAAATTATGTGTGTAACGTACGTCAGTCCAGGGAATGCTGGATAGTTAATGTTCAGGATTGTCCATGCCAAAATTAATTTTAGAGGCCAGTTTTATCAACACAAAAATAGCCGCCTGCTGGAATTTTTTGCCTAAAGACTGCTTCACATACGGAGCGTAAACATGATGGACACGTAAACGGGTAGGGCTGTACCGCTCATGCTCTGTATGTGAAGTAACCTTAAGACAAAAAATCCAGCAGCCGCCTATTTTTCTGTTGTTAAAACTGGCCTCAGATCTACTTTTTTGGCAGAATTTATACAACTGCATGAGATGACAGTTGTTGGCGCACCTGGTGGCGTTCAGTGGAAATTTAAGTGACATTAAGCATTTAATTTTTATTGAATATATTCTAAAATTAATAGTTGCTGAACAAGTAGAATAATAACACATGTAGTTTCCTAATTTATTGTCCTCAAATGTCCTAATTATTGTGTTCTGTTGTTTGCTGCAGGTCAACTAAGGATCAAACACTGGTCGTTGCGGGGATCAGCTTCAAAGGGTTAAGGATGGCGTCTTGAATCGCTGTTCAGTCGACAGGCAACTGTATGACTACGCCATCCCTGTCAACCAGAGCGTCGACCGAAGTAGGGCAGCGCTGCGCGGACCTGGCCACACCCGACGGCCGACCAACCGGTGTAGTAGCTGTTTCGGGCTGGGCGGAGACTACCTACATCACGACCTTTTGAACTTTGATCTCGTGGCGAGAAACAATATGACGTAAGCAAGTGTGTATGTGGCTGGCGGGGCCGAGGATGAAATGCGCCACGTGTTTATCCTGCCGGAGGACGACAGCGTCACCAACCTGTCAAAGAACGAGCTGGTGCAGTGCGTGACGACTGCTATCTCGTCCCTGGAACCTGAGTAGAAAAACGTGCGCATAGCCCAAATGAAACGAACCAAAACACAGACAGGACTGATAGCTATTCGGTCGAGACTCGAGAATGTTCTGAAGATGCTGATCAGTAGACCAATTGGTGACCGTTTTCGGTGGAAATAGGGATCTGTGTGGACGTGTTCCAAAGTGACCTGCTTTGGGTGTGGACATAAGTGGCTCAACCTGACAGGATTGATGTTTTAGGTAGCCGTGCTAATTATAAACCCTATATTGAGTGTATCTGTACAAATTTTGTTTATATTTATTTCATGTATTTGATTCGAAACCGAAAATTGCTCTTTGTAATTTGGCAACATCGAGACGTTGAGGTCATTCTCCAGACGTTTATTTGTTTTTCTTAACTGTCCACGGTATGTCTTATTGGTTTGGTCTCAGTTTCAAATATTATTAAATGCATGTTTTGCAAATACGTAGCTATATTGAATAAAAGACGTGTCCTAAAAGTGAGTATTGCTTTGCATGAGATGTGAGCATCAACGACAGGGCTTTGTGATGGCAAATTTGTGGCAATTGCAGGGATCGTTGTGAAATGTGTTATATGATCGTATTATTTGCGATTGCAAATGCATCCGTGTATCATATTTTTATTCAAATTGTGCAATTTGTGCAACGGGCTTGGGTATGTCGTTCGGCAAAATATCCCGTACTGTTCTCCAGAGAAATGGGACGGGATACAGATGCGTAGAAACACATTCATGAACACGTGAAAGACGATAGGTTAACTTTTTTTTAACTCAAAATCAATACTACAAAGCAGGGATGTAGAGCCGTGAAAATTTCAGACGGCTTCGGCTCCGTATGAAAAAATCGGCTCCAACTCCGGCTCCGGCTCCGCGTAAAATGGTCGGGCTCCGGCGGCTCCGGTTCCGGCGCCGACTCAGTACATCGCCTATGCAAAGGTCAGCACGGCTCCCTTCATGCATTCCCCCGAAGGCTTGCAGCTTTGATCAGGGAGCCAGGGCGAGTGCTGGATATCCCTGGTCTACCGTGGTAGTAAGGTCTAGAAAAAAATTACACGATCCTGTGCTGATAATATCTTCATGAATTTATTGAATTTGCATTATTTGCACACAAGAAACATTCCGTAAATCAATTTGAAGTGTGAAGTACGCCTGCAGAAAGTCAGTTTGCAGAATCAATATATTGATAAACCAGCTGATTTCAGAATCAAAATAATGATTAGCCAGCTGTTTGCGGAATCAAAATATTGATTCTCGCCGGGATTAGCCGCCCTGATGAATCAATATCTTGATTATTTTTAAGACGCTTTCCTAAACTAACCAAAGAGGTGAGGGCTATTGTTTCGTGCTTGGTGGGCAGCTTCAACGTTGTTCTTCATTTTGTGAAGAAACTATCTTGAAATTATAGCCGGTTGCTGAATAATTGACGTTTCTGTGATGGTCTGCACGTATGCCCATATATGGTCAAAGCTCCGCCCACTAGAATCAATATTTTGATGCCTCCATATTTTGATTCCTGCCGCCTAGTTTGCCCAACTGTGTTTGAACGTTTGAAACCACGAAAAGCTTGCAAACGCGCGGCTACTTCGAGCCGACATACGCCGAATCGCGATTCCGGCCAAACATGGTCTCGGAAAAGAGGTCACAGGTCAAAGGTCATTTGGGTCAGGGTCATGAAATTTTCAGGGGAGGTGTAAAATTAATCAATGCAAGGGTACTGACAGTTTCGTCGCGATCGGCCGCTTTTAACGCGAGTTATTCGCGAAAAACCTTAGTGGGGTTGCATCAACCCCCCCCCCCCCTGTGCCGGCGAGGGTTAAGGTGGCGCAATATGACTTATCTCCCCTACCATGACAAAAACTCAAAACATCATCCCAAGTTAGCTTATCTGAATTCGCCTATGATTTTTGAAATATCCAAAATGCTGTAATATATATGATGGCTTAGTTCATGAAGAAGGGTCCCTAGACGTTTCATCAAAATCGGTAAAAAAAAAAGAAGTGATAGCATTATAAGTAATGAGATGTAAAACGCGACTTTTTTTAAAATTTTTGCGTTCAGGGCCCCCAATTTCGAACTTTTTTTAACTTTTGCAGTGAATCTGAAAGTTCAGAGCAATCGAATGGCGCTTATCCCATTAACCCGCGCCCCAGTGGCGGTCTCAGCCAACTTCGCCCTAGTGGGGGGGGGGGGGGGGAGGGCATATGTTACCACCCACTTCTAACTCAAAAACTAAGAGGGCTAGAAAGACGCGGTAAAAAGCAATCGATAGCTCTCAATGCGTACGTTTGAAAGTATTCCAGTCATTTTCATCTTAGAGCAATATTGGGGTCACTGGAGGTCATCAAAGGTCAAAATTTGCCAAACGTCATTATATTTTTCAGAAAACATGCGTTTATCTCAGGAACTAAGATAGCTAGAAAAATGCGTGGAAAAGCAACCGATAGCCCTTGAACTCTTCTTTCGATAAGATCATCATCAAAATTGACCTCAGGTCAACGGTTTAGCCTCCAGAGGGCAAAAACTCCAAAAATAGCTGTTTTTACGAAAAGTGTTTTTCGACAATAACTTTTGAATAAAAAAGCCACGACATTTCTATTGCCAGAATCGTGTTCCTCTCGCCGAGACGCATCGAATGAACTATAATTTGACCTTGAAGGGTCAACTTGAAAATTTACCTCAGGTCAAGGTCATGACCTGACCAGAAAAGGTCATGTTGCATATCAGTCGATGCGTCTCGGCAAGACAAACACAATGAGACCATCCCCAGCGTTCTATCTCTTTCCAATCGAAAGTTATCGGCAAAAATCTGTTTGTAGCCTCAAATGACCTCGGATGACCTTTCTAGAGGCTATCAGCAAAAAAGACACCTTGGTCGTCACGGGTGGTCCAAATCATTGTGATTCTGAAATATTTGGACTGTTCCTACGCGTACACACGGATCTAGAGGCATTTTCATTTTTCTCCATTGACTTATAATGGAAAGGTCACGTCACTGACCTGACCTTAGGTCACGGATATAAAAAATCTGAGATATACAAATTGTAGGCGCCCATAACATCATGCAATCCACCAAGTTTAAAACCTCTCTGACAAACACTGCAGGCTGGACATGATTGCAAACTTTTTTAGGCTTGGTCAGTTAACTTGACCTGGTGACCTGACCTGACATGACCTGGGGTCAAAAATTTCACACATTGTCCAAAATTGATGTACAAAAAGCTACCCCAAGCGGCGCGGCGCTACGCGCCGCGGTTTTTTTTTATTTACACGCAAAAAACGCGACAGGGTGGTAACATATGCCCCCCCCCCAATGCACAGTAGGCGATTTCGCTATCCTAGCACTTCATGAGTTATATCTTAAGTTAGACTCAAAACCAGTCATCCTCAAACCCCTCATTTTGTGCCTAGTTTCATTGCGCTTCAACTGATATAAGTATCGGCATTAGAAGTAATCGGGTTTTCTTTGCAACGTGCAAGAGAGCGAGCAATGCCTTTTCCCCATAGGCTTATACAGGACAGAAGAGGCTTAGCAAAAACATATACAGTGTTGTCTGTGTTATGACTTACTTCTCAACTAGCGTCAGTTACGGATGAACCACTTGATCACAAACCACGTGAGCTGGTTTTGCAAAGAAAACATTGTTGCAGAGGCGCTTTCAGACTGGTCTGTTTGGGGGAAAATAGTACCAACAGACTACCACATTTCAGAGGATCGTAAATTATCGTGTTTTAGGAAGTAGGTAATTATCAGTGAAATGGAAATGGTTTAGCGCTGAAATTGCATGTAAGCAAAGCTAAGATGCAATTGCAAAGCAAAAAAGAAGAGACCATGACTTGCGAATAATTGTGGCTGCTTGAACGTTCCGATCACATGTTCTACAAATAAATAGCTTTAGCTAGTGTCGTGTCTACCTACAACGTAACGCTTATTTTTGGTGGTTGGGATTCACAGTTGCGAAATGAATGTACGCTAACGGAGTTCAAGGAAGGAGTAGGAATTTCGCTTTCCGTTTGGCCTCTAAATAAGTTAGAACTTCGGTGCAACGTGGGCATGCTGCTCTCCCCGAACGGAAACCATTTCTACCTACCCGATTGTAAGTTTTTTAGGTCAGAGTCCCCAGGTCACCAAAATTGGTCGAAGGAGGTCAAATTGCATACCATTCGATTCGGCAGGTCTTCCTGAGTTCATTGGTGGCTTGCCTGAATCGCTAGCTCAATTTGATGGGGAGTTATGGACCAAAAACTATAATGACCAGACCATAGTGACGTCATAAATGACGTCACGCAAGTTCAACAATGCAAAAGTAGAGCATTGGACCTTGCAAAAGTAAAGCTTGAACTACCTATGTAGTTTGATATCGTTTCCGGCGCCAAAATAGCAGTGTTCATTTTACAACATTGACTCACAATGGTGAGGTCATGTGATCGACTTGACCTCATGTGACCTTTAGGGAAAATCCGAGGCATACAAACTGTGAATCCTCTGGAGGATACTAGGTTCTGTAAGTTTCATCTCCATGTGAAAGCTGCTCTGGCATTGAGGGCTTTGCGAAGTTGCGACATCTGAGGATCGTGCAGAGGTTCACTTATGACGTCATTGGTCCGTGAACTGACCTGACCTAAAAATGTAGTTGGTGTCACAAGATTCGACTTGAATCAAAGGTCAGGTATGCCAAGTTTCAGCTTTCTATCGCTGGCGAGTTAGGAGCTGTTGCGAACAGAATCTTCGGTTGGGCGGTGGTACTACGCCCCTCCCCTCGGCCCTATCCCCACCTTATACGGTAAGGGTTGAGCAAAACGTCCATAACTCCGTGAA